ATACCAATCTACATCTGCTTATGATTTGAAAAACAAAACACTTAAAAATATCCCTTTAATAATTTTTCTGCAAATAAATCATATTGCTTACATGTACTCGACAACAGAATATATAGATTATACGTATCCTCATAATTTTATCAAAGTTCATTGCCACTAAGGTTTTAATGTATATTACATTTTAAGAAACCAGGATATGTGATGAATTACCTGCCTAATTGAGATTTAAACCATGGATGCATTTCTTAAAGTTATTTATGAATGTACTAACCTCTTATTCCACGAGGCCACGCACAAGGGATTAATAATTCGGTACATTTTCTTCGAATTAAAGGGCCATTGGGTAATTCAGTTGAACAAATTCAAGTGTACATAAATTATCGTCCACCGCGTTTTAGTTCCATTGCAACTATATAAGTATATTCCTGATTTTTTCGAAGTCAGGAAACATAAACTGGGATCCCGACTAACCACTCACACTGCTGGAACAAACAGGAAGAAATACGATAATTCGTTACAAGCTGTAGGAAACTATACATGTTTATGTCTTTAATTTGATGCACAACAAAAGCTGCAATAATTAAAATTATCATTTTATATGGTACACAGTAGCAAATACAGTTGAATAAGGAAAAGCTGAATAAATAGCCGGTGACAGCATTTTGGTTTACCGAATTTGTGATGAATTTTGATACACAGAAATGAAGCTAACACTCTTACCTTTCCCATTAACTAGAATGCTGAAATTCAATTTCTGCATTATTATTAACACAACAGTTTCATCAGATTTCCTCATAACATCAGCTCTCGTAATAATCAGTACATATTCCTTTAAGCCAGTGCTTATAAATTACACTTCTAAGCATTTGCATAGAAATTGAAAACTTGTAAGGGCTCGATAGTATTACATTTCCTAGAATTTGGAATTATTACATTCAAAGGTCCTGATCCTCAATGATAATTAGCTCATTATCAACTTAAACCTTTAAACAGGCTAAGAACTATATACCAGAGAGTTAGAGAACTGCTCCTTAGTTTGGGGTCAGATCATGTTAGATGCATCACTTTCGACGTTAAATGGGTTCTTTATAACAATGAGTCCCTTATACGAGGTACCCTATCAAGTCAGAGTCCCAGGAATGGTACCTTTATTGAATTGAAGCAACTACTCAAAAAATAATAGATGTGAAACTAATCTTGCCCGCCAAACATATTCAAAAATTTTGTGGTAATACGTACTAAATAATTTTACGGTTTCCACATTGAATTCAAAGGAATTTCTCCTTGTATTCGAATAAAACAGTCAAAATAATCTCTTAAAACGGAATATAAAAATAATTCTTTGAATATCACATTCAAATTTTTCATGTAAGTATTTTCTATTAAATAATAATATTTATCTTCTTGCATTACTTACTCTTTAGCTGAGTTTTTTTTTATTTTTCAGATACTGGATAGATAAACTTAGGAATGTTCTTCATAGTTAGAGGAGCAGCTGAAGACACTTCTCGATAAATATAATTATTACAGCTGCGATTATTAAATTTTAAAATTAATTTTCATTCGCTGCGGTTACGAGGCTCACAATCTGAAGACAAATGTTTTTCTTCGCAATTTAAACAAACATGCATAGAATTCTCTGAATGGTTACGTAAATACCTAAGGCTTAACACAATCGTTAAGTATTCTTTGAATTCAAAAATTTACTTCGTCATGACATTAATTTTTAGATATTTAAAAATGCAATTAAATTTCCATCTAATTAAAATTATTTTAAAAATGCAATTAAGTTTGTAAACAACTGGCCATTAATTTAGAGAAGTAAGTTACGAAACTACAGACATCAATTTCAGTGTAGATACCGCAGTTTTAGAAAATACAATTTTTTAATTTCAGACATAGGATTATAAAAGATTCCCATAATTTTATTTCTGATTTTAATTTTTATTTAAATCCTGAAGCTTAAGAAATATCATTTTCAATTTCATTTAAGTTTCATAAGATGTTTCGATCCGATATTTTTGGAAATCCCAGACTTTTATGCATAGGCAAATGGAAGTTTGCTATAATATATCGTAGATAAAGTTACTCGCTAGAAAATAAATTACAAAGTAGCAACATAAATAAAGGAAATGGTAATTGATACTACATGTATGCATTTAATAGCAAAAATAACTGAAAATCAGAACTGAAATTTGATATAATGATTAAAATGTTCCCAATAATATGGCGATTTAAAATTTTTTTGAATGATTAGTTCTTTCTAAACCGTGGAAAAACTGCTAATATATAAATAATAGGAGAAAAAGAATATTTATAATTTCACGAATTTAAATTACTTCTTATTAGAACTTAAAATTTGTTGACTTCGAATTGATAAATGTGCTGCATTATATTTATTCAAGCAATAACCAATTCTAGCGCATCTATTTGAATTCCCAAGGACTATAGATGCCCCATTTAAAAGATTATGTGAAAGGTAGATAAAAATTTTTGATGTTTTGTATGTTATTTGTTAAAAGTTTTTAAAGTAGGAGTTATAAGCGTACAGATAATCTATTTCTAAAAAGAAAAAAATGCAAAAAGAATATCCGGCTATAGAATTCTTTCAATTACAAAATTACCATATCCGTCTCAAAATCTGTTTTGATTTATTTTTATTACATTTTATTATTATCATTACTACTACCATAGTTATCCTTATTATTATCTTTATATTACAGTTCATCTGCCCTCAAATGATGACGACCTACAGTCTACTCTGATCATACAAAATGATCCGCAGGAGAATATTCAGTACCTCTGAGGACCATTCTGATTTTCATTATACAGGGCTAGCATAAATGATTCATTCATTTTGAAAAGGCTAGTGTATAAATAACATGTTTTTAAAAGGCTATATTTTCAAAAGTATTGCGCGTACACACATGAAGAATATATGAAAAGAACCACAAACTCACCAAGTTTTTTTCACTATTTCAGCAAGTTTCCCGGATAAGTGGAATGTAGCTTCATCGCTGCATATCAACTTGGTGGCGAAATCTTCGTCCTCCAATAATTTCTGCAGCCTGAAGCAAAAATCTTGTCGACAGGCATAATTTTCCGGCTTTAACTGTTGCGTGTGCTACATATGGCACAGTTTGAAATGCAACCGCTGGTGCAAAATCTTTCACACAATTTTTTGCGGTAATCCGTACATAGTATGGTTATTTGACAGGACGAACAACTGGGCATCAACGCTGCAAAATGTATGGAATGAAGTCAATTACCGTCTAGACGCGTGTCATGTCACCAAAGGGGCACACACTGAATATTTGTAGAGGGTGCATGAATTTGGTGAGTTTGTGGTTCTTTTCATATAGCCTTAACATGAAATAATTTTGAAAATATAGGCTCTTCAAAAGGAATAAATAATTTATCCTTGCTCTGATTTTTTTTACAGCTGAAATGTCACTCACGTCAGTGGTACTGGTTTGAAGGAAGCCATCTGATAATAAAAATTAGCCAGCTATTATTCATTGTTCATTGCTGTTGTTCTTTGGGCACTGATTTCGAAAGTTTTCATTAAAACTCTAACATGATCTTGCCGTGAACGGGTAAGATTTTATCTGCTCAGGGTATTTTATTTCTGTTTTTTTCTTTCCATTGAGAATTCTGTAATCCTTTTCGATATTACTCTTTGCAGTTCTGTATTAAGCATATATAAATTTAAAAATCAGCTTTGTTTAGCAACCTAAAATAATTTAGAGCTGCGGATGTTACTAACAGGACACAGCTCTTGAAATACATCCGAGGAAAACCACAATTTAATCTTCTTTTAACGAGTGGAAGAGGCTAAATGTATGAATTCATGTTGCTACTTGGTTTGGGTATACGTTGACCAAAGAGAAATGAAATCCGTAACATCTTTACCCACTACACTCCTAAGCATCTTTAATCAACTACGGGTATCGTTGTCTTCTAAGTTACCACGATATGGAACGATGGGAATACAAGTGGAATCTTCAGGAGTTATTTAAAAGCTCTTTGCCATGAGCCTTCGATTGATCTATTATCGTACAGTTTCTTACAGCGAAATTCTACAAGACCGTTGAATTACTTTAATAATATTTAAGTTTATTTACAGAGATGTAAGAAGATTAACTGGTCTCCCAAAACGAGATAACTGTGAGCCAGATTAAGTCTGAAATGACAGTTGTCAAGCAACAGATCTGTGCTTAACTAACCCTCTTGCGAACTCTTACCGAAAATCAGCAAATTAATCTAAGATGTAAAGTATATTCGAGGCTTTTCTTACAGCACGGATTCTGAGTTTAGGTTAAAACAATTAATTTGACACATATTTTAGAATACTGCTAAAAAAAAATCTGTGAAATTTATTTTATCTAGGCAATTTCCGATAATGAGAGAGGAAATTTAATCAAATAATTACATGTAATTGTAAACTAAACATTAAAATAATTTACGGTTGAATAAATAATAAAATAAATAATTGAATAGCTGTATTATTTTATACATATCATTCAGCGAAAGTGTGAGTTATGTAAAAGGAAATAACGGTTAAACTTGATTTTACTTTGGTATATCATCTACGTACTTAAAACAAATAGAAGCGACTTTTAAGGCTAAAAGTAAGCTTTATAATATCATATTTTTGAAAAAATGATCTGAATCTCTTTTGAATAGTTGGCGTTTAATTTAATATGGATTCATATAAAGGAAAGAAGAATATCTGGTTTTTATCACATATTTTAGTTTTAATTTTAAAATTACAAAATGCCTTTAATAGTATTTTATTCAAGATTAACAAATAACAAAAGAAGAGAAAACACTAATAAAAGCTATAAAACTCAGAAGATGCTTAAAACTGTAACCTTTATTTAATGCTGTTTCTATAACATTTAGTTTACGCAGGCAAAGTATACGAAGGCACGCGTAAACATCTGGAGAAATGCTGGTGATGATTAGACTCCTGAGGGATAAAAAGCAACTCAACTTACCTCTGGAAAAATGTTTTTTCTTATTCTTGATGATAATTTTTCTCATGAGCTGCCTAGGAGAAGGTAGCAACTGCCCGGGATTCAACTACAGTAAGAAATAAAAGCAATTATTTTATGAGGAAAGAAACATTTGTTTTAAGCAATTAAGAAGCAAAAGGAAAATTTAAAAAAAAGAGAGAGAGAAATGGATTTTTTATACTTCAAAACAATTATAATGATCTAGGAACATATTTTGAAACCAGGATTTAGCACACATATTTTTAATTCCACTTAATAAATAACAAGTTTTAAATTACAATACTGTCAGTGTTTTGCGTTTTAAAAATTATTATCTTCTAAGAACTCATCCGTATGCCTTTATGCTAAAAGGAAACGTGCAGAACATATTTCGCTCCTTGAAGAATGGAAATGGAATTAGAGATTACTTAGGTTAGATTTAGATTAGCCAGTTCAAATGATATACCTTGATATATAATTCTAATTTGTGCTTATTAAAAATCATTAAAATGATTTCCCATAAAATGAAAGGATCAAGAAGCGGAAAAAGTAGCTTCTAGAATATAAAGCACTGATTTTTAAGATTAGGATTTTATAATGCTGTTTATGAAGAATAACAACGTTCAAAAGAATAATTGGCATTTTTCCTTGACAAATCGATATCATATGGCAAACACACAGAATTGAGACGCACAAATTATACTCTTCATATATAACAGTGATAATTATTTTAAGGAACAAATAAAAAAAGAGCATCTATCTTTAAAAACTGCTTTAAAATTTCTGGCTTCTTTAAAAAATACATATTTAATTGAAATTTTCAAAAGCTTTAAACTAACACAGGAAAATTATTTCTTGTCTTCTTCTGATTTATATTAATAATTCCTCTTTCATCCGATCAAAGCTACTTTAAAAATTGCAGATATAACAAAAAAGCATTTTTACATTAATTTATTATTTTCGTGTACGTACAGAAGTCACGTACATATGCATGTATGTATGTATGAATATAACGCATATGTATGTATGTATGAATGTTTCTCGCATAATTAGAAAACTATCAGCTGTAGAACATTGAAAATTTGCTTATGAGACTGCTATAATATCTAGTTATGCACCTCTCTTTCTACTTCAATTATTAATACTAACTATATATATGTAATAGTTTTGATGCGTAGTCGTGCTGGCAGAGTGGCAAGAAGAGACGATGACGAAACTGTTTTTTTGCCAAATCACCAATCTTTATTCTCACACATATCCAAATTAATTTGGCAGATACTTATTCAATCATAATAAAATATGATAAATGTCTATGATAATGTTAAATTAATCGTTTTAATAATAAATTAATAAATTTTTTTAAGAAATGACGTAAGCAGCTGAGAAGCAAAGCGGCGCGAGGATGACAGAGTAGAACTTAGGGAAATGAATGGAATGACATTAATTAATTCACCAGCTGTATTTGCACTTCTGAATCGTTAATTTGGAGTTCCTCAATTATTTTAAAATCAGTTATCGCATTTTCGTATATCTTAAATATCCCCCCCTTCAAAAGAAAAGATCGGGAATACAGGGTGGCAGAAAAGCATTAGTAATTAGCGAAACAAGATAAAAGTTTATTATATGAAGACAGACATGAGGAAGTATCAAGGACATATGTAAGATATAAGAAAATACAATATCTGCTTTAAAAATAATTCGCGACCTCAAAATTAACGATTCTAGATTTGGTTCTCTCCCCTAAATTCATCTGTTCTCCCAAATTCGAGATCCTTCTAATCCTTAAATGTTATGTAACAACCTCAAATTAACCAATCATAGCTTGTATCTACAATTACATCAGAATTAGCATAAATATAACTGGTGAATTAATTACGTCAGTCCATGTTTTCCTTAAGTGCTACTCTGTCATCCTTGACCTAGGTTTTAAGAGAGACAGAGAGGAAATCTCCAAATTAAATAATAAATTAACGATTCTAGATTTGGTGCTCTCCCCCTAAATCATAGCTAATTAAAATTAAAAGTTTGCTTTTATATTTTTTATCTTACACATATACACACACACGTTTGATACTGTGCAATAAAAACGGGAGGTGTACAGCAGTCCCATTTAGAAAATATTATGTTCTACAGCTAATCATTTTTGAACTATGTGACATACATACCCACAAACATACACGCGTAGGTACAGACGTCACGGAAAAATAAAAGAATCCCCTTCGAATCAATTTTATAATTCGTTTTGGACAAAATAATCCTTTATTCTGTCCGTACGTATAGTCATCACGCAAAACTAATCGTCCAAATGGATTCAGGAATGGACAAAATGGATATTTCTCTTGAAATATGGTATCTGAAATTTTTCTCTTTTACAGTAATTCCTTACTTTGTATAAGAGAGCATTGTTACATTAATATATCATTAGAAATTTTAAATTTAAAATAATCAAGCAGTATTATCTAAGTATTTAGATGAATTAACTTTTTAACAATTCTAAAATTAGATATTTTTAAAAATTTAGTAACGCAGATGTCTATTATGAATTGCACGAATAATATAAAAACAGTAAAAATTAAAAAATGTTGTTTCCAAAGTTCTGTTTGGTAAATTATTTTTTATCGCTAATGGCATCGTCCCAACAATCCAAATTAAAAGAACGTTTTCGAGCAATTTATTCCTGTACTGTTATCAGATAAAACGTCATCATTTATATCCTTGTTGCTATTTATTAATTACTATCATTACAAACAGCTGATCCATCATAACTGTTAAACTATCATTTTAATCTAGTGTAATAAGCCAAACTGATACTAACCGTCTGAATACTTCATTACAAACGATTAGATTTCGGAACTCTAAAAGGCGTTTAATTCCTGTAGAGTGTCTTTCAATTGTTTTAGATATTTGAATAATTATTACAACCGAAACTTTGATATTAACCGTCTGAATACTTCATTACAAACGATTAGATTTCGGTACTCTAAAAGGCGTTTAATTCCTGTAGAGTGTCTTTCAATTGTTTTAGATATTTGAATAATTATTACAACCGAAACTTTGATATTAACCGTCTGAATACTTCATTACAAACGATTAGATTTCGGTACTCTAAAAGGCGTTTAATTGCTGTAGAGTGTCTTTCAATTGTTTTAGATATTTGAATAATTATTACAACCGAAACTTTGATATTCCTCAAATTGGAGCATTTAAGTTCTAAGAATAGGAATCTGAGGCCTGTTTTCGCTGCCTTGTCCATAGGAGAAAAGACTGTTCTTGCTGGGGTTACTTTAGGTCGAAGTAGATCCTTGGTAAGTGTATGTTCGAAATTCTGTTGTGATCTACCTAATCCTGTAATCTCTACATCGGTTAGATTAAAATTGCTGAATTTTCAGCCTTCGTAAAAGGAAACTTCGGGTTAGAACCATGCCCAAATCGACTGATAATTTTATTTCATTTATTTTAATTTAATCACTCTCATGCAGTGAGTTGGAACAAATTTACAGTATTTTAATTCTGTGTCTATTTGTTTAATAAGTATTAATTCTGGTGGTGATACTTCTTTACTCGGAATAAATGTAACCAATGTCGATTTAATGGTAATTGACATCACGAAGTTAGTTGAAAGTCATTTCAGGTGTTACAAAATAAATAAAAAGCATTCTTTCATTTTAACATTTGGTTAAAGAATCTCCGTGGAGTCATACGAACTAATCTTTCGCCCTTTTACTATGATAGATAAATTTGATGGAAAGTACTACTTATGTTATGATTGTTAAATTAAATGTAGCCAAGACCTTGTAGTTTGTAAGCCTTGTTGAAGTGGCTAGTTACTTCTTAAGTTAGACCAGAGAAAGTCTCTGAAAATATAACTTGGAAAATCCGCCCTCTCTGCCACTAGAAATCGAAACCTTGATTTGATTATCAACGCAGTGCGGCTCAGCCTACTTTGCCCTTTCATACACATGACGCTAAATGTCATTAATGATGTCATGAAAATACAATTTTAAAAGTATGAGTATTCGTGGCAGTCGTATTTGTAAAGGGTATAGAAAATGACGGAGGAATTTCAGTTTCAATAAGGTAAAGTTAAATTTATATGTCATTATCATTTGTTTAAATTTACATCAAATATGCTATTAGGCTACATTAGTGCATGTTATGTGTAGCATCATTAGGTTATTTTGAAACAGGCGTACATATGAGCAATGCCCTCGCCGCGGCTCGAATCTGGATCGCTCGAATACGCACCGAGTGTGCTACCATTACACCAGGAAGGTATGCAAAAAAGGAGGGAGAAAATCTGCGTCGGGTGTGCTGCGTTAACCGTGAGGCCGATTACTGTCGGCCAGGAGGGTTGCAGCATACTCGTAAACTAAACTAAACTAAATCTTATATACTTTTCCTTCTAAAGGGCGACTGCGGATTAGGGGATTTAGTCCTCATATCCTGTTAGTAAAGAATCCTCATCCGCCAGCTTTTAGTTCGGGCGACTGTAGAGTCATTACGTTATTTTGAAGCAAGAAACATGAAAAATGAGCAGTATACTCACTGGGACTCGAACCTGGATCACACGAATTTCGCGCCATGTGTGCTGCCGTTACACCACGAAGGCATGCAGAGAAGAGGGAGAAAATACCTTATATATGTTTCAGACGTTTCTTTAAAACGTTTGAAATTTATAAATCGTTTCTTCATAAATGTGAATAGTGTACTGAAAGGTAATGGATATTATAACGGAGTTTAGTCGGTTAATGTCTTTTCCACCTTGAACTTTAAATAATCAGATCTAAAAAGTGTACAATTAACTTTGATTTAGTGCTTCACATAAAATGTCTTTTCTTGAGAAAGTCATCAACTGACTAACTACCGCTGGGAAGGGGTGCTGTTTTCGGCTACTGGATAGATTCAGAAAAATGAAATAATCTGTCAAAATTCAGAAAAAGAGACTTTGATGTTTTGTAACAATTACGATTTAAAACATGTTAGATTTAAGAACAATTGAAACTTAAAATAGATTGAAATAAGAACATAATGCAAAATTGGTTGTGCAGATTCAAACGAATAATAATACTAGTACTGACTATTTGTAAG